TATATATATATCCTATATTCTCTCCACAGAGTACGTTTGTGTCTGGATCCCCAGCTGCACACACGGCTGTGGATGCTGCTCTGAAAGGGATGCACTTCTACAGCCACCTCCAGGCTGAGGACGGTCACTGGGCAGGGGACTACGGCGGACCTCTCTTCCTGCTCCCAGGTATCATCCTCTGGCATGTGCTTTCATTTCATACCTGAGAAATACAGTGGCTATATTTTGCTTTTCCACATTAATGATAAGTTTAGTTTAAAGCTTCTCTGTGTAGAATTGGGCACCCTACAGTGATAGTGTTAAGATGCATGTAAATATTGTCTTCTGACGTCAGATGATGTGATTTCTGAAGTTACAGAATGCATGAACACTTCTCTAATAGACAGTCCCTATTGCAAAGTTGCAGGTGGAGCTGTAAGAGTAAACATGTGCTTCTACCTCTCTCCGTGTTTTTTTTTATCTCCACCCGTGTGTGCTCCACAGGCCTCCTGATCACTTGCCATGTGGCTAAGATCCCTCTGCCCGGGGCCTGGAAGAAGGAGATGGTGAGGTACTTGCGCTCCGTTCAGCTGCCAGATGGAGGCTGGGGTCTGTAAGTTGCCTTCACACTTTTTAGTATTTGGATATTTGTGCATGCCTTAGCCCTAATATGCATCTACTGGAAGGTGATGTTTCTCACTGCAGAAGACAAAGGTAGCAGACATAACGTTTGTCTTCTGACATTTCAGCAAAGGGGACCCACTAAAGTTGAAAACTGTCCAGTGTCTCGACAGCTATACAGAATACAGAAGTCATCTTTAGTCTTGCCAGTTTCAGTCTACATACATTTCTTCCAGATTCCTATGAGATCACCATGACCTTTGACCTTTACAACTGAAATCGAATCATTTCATCTTTGAGTTCAAATGACAACTGGTCAGAATTTGAAGAAATTCTGAAGTTTTGTGAGGCATCTTGACTTTGACCAACCAAACCAAACCATGGGCCTAATTTGAATGGGCTCACTACAGGTGTTGTGAACATAACACATTGAAATAAGGGTTTTGAAGTGAACATTTATCCCCAACTCTCTCCAGGTGTTCCTGAGACGCTGTTTTCACGACCAAAAACACGTTTAGTGAGGTTCCAGTGTACTTGACCTCTGACCTTTACCACTCAAATATAGTTAGTTCATCCTTGAAGTGAATGTTTGTAGCAAGTTGAATGAAACAGACGTGTGGATGGATGGACAACCAATAAACATAATTCCTCCGGCTAATGGCTGTGCCCCATGTACAGGCATTTGGTGGTTGAGTGTAAAATTTAAATTCTTGATCAAAGCAGCTACATATCATTGTTGCAGAGTTGCCACATGAAACCTGGTCTGGTCATTATCAGAAGACAAATTCAACGTGTCTGTTCATCTAACAACATAATAACAGGAAACGTCAGACTGTCTGAAAGATGGATTCATGCAGCAACGTGTGTGGGTTTTTTTTTCCTGCAGACATATTGAGGATAAGTCGACCGTCTTTGGCACAGCACTGAGTTACACATCATTAAGGATCCTGGGAGTAGAGCCTGATGACCCAGATATGGTCCGAGCCAGAAATAACCTGCACAGCAAAGGTCGGCAGGAAGAAGTTGAAAATCTGTCATTCCTTTCTGTTTTTATATTTCCTGTAAACTTGATTTGAGATCCTGTGAGCTTATCATGATAATCACGTCAGGGTTTATTGTTGCTGTTTACCAAAGCGCTCTGTGTTTGTTATTGTGTTCAGGCGGTGCAGTGGGGATTCCCTCGTGGGGCAAATTCTGGTTGGCCATTTTAAATGTCTACAGTTGGGAAGGAATGAACACGCTCCTACCAGAGATGTGGTAAGCTGGATGTTCAGACGTATCATTCTGTCCTCCTCCTCCCATCAGCCACGCTTTAATCACACAGGAGAAGCTTCAGGATGTCAGCTGTTGTGTTGCACCAGTGCTAATATTATGCAGGGATGGGAAGTAATGATGTACCAGTACTTTGTTAGGTATCTGTACTTTATTTGTGTATTTTTTATTCTGACACTTACTTCACTTCTACATTCTAACACAAATATTTGCTCATTTTACATTTTTTTTACAGAAATGAAATCTTTTCTTGCTTTAACCCTGTTTTGAGTTTATTTTAAATGTTTATTTGAAGTAAAAGTAGACTTAGTAAAAGTTTAACTTAAATAGTCTTCAAACTATTAATGTGACAGGAGTCTCATTTTACCTTGCACAGATAAAAATGGCCTTGGTGAACCTTTTACTTTTATACTTTGAGTACATTTCAAATCCTTCAATCATTTTACTTGAGTAAAGAGATTGAATCAAAACTTTTACTTGAATCCTTTTTAATTCAAGTATCTGTACTTCTTCTTGAGTAAAACGTGTGTGTGGCACCTCTGACATTATGTGTACAGTGATGATGTCATGTCTTTCTCCCATGCAAATGCCTGGTTTGAATCACTGCCTTGTGAAACAGGACCTACTGTGACATCAGCTCATCCTCTAAACTAAGACTAACTTTAATCACTTTAAAAAAACTTTACAGCAGGCTTCCACTTGTTTTTACGTCTGTTGAATATTTCTGTCAGAGTGAACATGTTTTGCTTTGAATGTATTCAGGGTTTGATGTTTGTATATGTGTCTGTTCCAGGCTGTTCCCTACATGGATGCCGGCCCACCCCTCTACTCTGTGGTGTCACTGTCGCCAGGTCTACCTCCCCATGAGCTACTGCTACGCTGTCAGACTGGCAGCGGAGGAAGACTCGCTGGTGCTCAGCCTCAGACAGGTGCTGATGCCAAACTGTAACACAAGGGGGCACTACACTCCCGATTACAACCAGAGCTCAATGATAAACTGAATATTGAAACAATTAAAGGAGAGGTCCGAAAGTACACTCTCCCCTTTTTCTTGGCTCATTTCTCAGGTCTGTTCTGAGTTTGTTCAGTTTGTCTCAAGACTGAATATTTTTATGGATACTTCACAATGCAGCAATACTGGAATTAAGTTTCAGTTTAATCAATATTATTGCTGGGTTGCATTTGACGAGGATTAATCAATAATCTAAGAGTTTACTTTTAAATCTATACAAAATTTCGAAAGAAAGAAATGATAAAAGGCCATCACAATTACAGTCTCTCAATTTTCCGCCCAAGGTGATGTATTGAAATGACATATGTCACCTGATCAGCAGCACAAAAACATGGGATCTTCAATTTACATGAAGAGTGCAGTGCGTGTTCTAAACCAGCCTGTTCAGAATGGGCTGTTAGCTTGTCCTGAGGTGACGCTGACTTGCAGTAACTGAGCCACACAACCTTTAAACTGCTGCTGCACCAAGAACAGTGGAGGTCGACTCAGTGCGCAAAACCTCAAACTTGATCAGTCCCAACTGCCACTGCTACAGAGCACCCGTTTATTCAAAGTTTATTATTATTTAATATATCACTTGTCCAAGTCCCACTTACGCGTTGAAATATACTGTAGGTATTTGCCTCAATATGCATCGACAGGTTTATAACATATTTGCCTGGTTCTTGTTGTGTAGGAGCTTTATGTCCAAGACTATGCCACCATCAACTGGCCTGCTCAGAGGAACAATGTGGCAGCATGTGACATGTACACACCTCACAGCACACTGCTCACCGTGGCCTATAGTAAGTATACACACTGAGCACCCTGAAGCAGCTCTCACAGACATGTTGCTGTAAAACAGAGTAGAACAGGAAATATTGAATGGTATTACAGTTGAATTAAAAATCATAAGTACATTTGTAAGCATGTGTTGAACTCCAAGGTGGTGAAACTCGTGTTTTGCACTTTGCAAAGTAGCAATTATCGAGTGAGATGTAAAAAAAAGAAAAAGAAACCTGAGGCGTATCCCTGGCTACAAGGAGGTTTTGTGCCATGATGTATTATGAGAGTGTTTTCCACTGGAATGTTTCCACATGCTGCTGTGTGAATCACTCCCCTCACACCATGACCCTGTGTCTGTTGTCCTGCAGTGGTGTTAAATGTGTACGAAGCCCATCACAGCACCACACTGAGAGGAATGGCTGCCAGAGAGCTGTATGAGCACATCCAGGCTGACGACAGCTTCACCAAGTGTATCAGCATCGGACCGGTAGTGAAAACACACATCCTAAGGAACACTGAATAGAATATGGGCCATGTACAGTGCATGCAAAGACAAAAAAGTAAATACTAAAAATGTGTCACATGTTTTAGAAATAATTTAACTTAATTATATAATAATTTATAATTATATAAAGGTAATAATTAACTTATCTCCATTAAGTTTTTAAAAATCATCATATTTAGACTGTTAAAGAAAGGGAGTGTGTGTAAATGTGAGGTTCTGGTCTTTGTCCTCAGATCTCCAAGACTATCAATATGCTGGTTCGCTGGTATGTGGACGGTCCGACCTCCGCAGTCTTTCAGGAGCATGTGTCCAGGATCCCAGATTATCTCTGGTAACAACGCAGCAATTTATCAGCTCATCAACAAAACAAATTTCCAAACCATCACTGCTCAAGAAGTTGTTCAAGAAGCTCTCGTGCTGGATAATGCAACCCATGTGTGGAATGTTGAAAGTTGTTAACTCAGTTAAATCATTTTGTGTGCATGAAAGAACCTAACAGTAATTCCTCTGTGTTCCAGGCTGGGGCTGGATGGTATGAAAATGCAGGTGAGACTCTTAAACTTTTTATATTGAGTAGCAGTGTGCACAAGGACTTTGTGACAGTAGTCCTGTAGCTGTGCTTTTCATTTCACTTTTTCTTCACTTCTGCTGGTTTGATGCACGTCGCCCTAGAATGAGAGTTTCAGTTTACCGAGTGAGTTCACATATAACTCAAACTGAGTGTTCAACCTTTGTGTCCTTCCTATTCTGCACAGGGGACGAACGGATCTCAACTGTGGGACACTTGTTTCGCTGTACAGGCTTTCCTTGAGGTGACACAAACCACTCACACTAGTACTTCTGTTTATGCAAGTAAGCAGGAATTTATTGCAAAGATCAGATATGTGTGATATGTTTAAACTTGCTCTCTCTGGTTTAGACAGTGATTGCAAGATTTCCTATGAACTGTTACTTTCCCACACAACCAGTGAGGAGAGCATTGTGAATGACTCACTGACGGGAAGCTAGATAGATAGATAGATAGATAGATAGATAGATAGATAGATAGATAGATAGATTTCTTTATTAATCCCCAAAGGGAAATTAGGTCGTCATAGCAGTTCTTTATTTGGAAACAATAAAAATACAATAGAATAAAATTCTGAGGTAGAAAAAAATCAAAATAAAACAATAAAAACCAAAATAAGAAACGGTAAATGCTGGAAACACATAGATTTCAGATCGTTTTTACCTTTGAGGCATTTTGGCATTAATTTAACAGGCTACTGGAACAAAGATAAGGAGGTGTAAACAGCCTAAATATAATTACATAAGTCTGTTCATATAAAACTTAAAGTGCATTCATACAGCACTTCTTCTAACACTGCCGGCACATCTGTCAGGGGGTTCAGTATCTTGCCCAAGGACACTTTGTGACTTGATGCAGCCTAGAGGAAATATGTACAAACTGAAGAGCATGTGATGCAATATTAACTCCTGAGGAACTCCACACAGAACATCATGGCTCCTTTAAATGGGTTTCAAACAAGCCACAGGCTCCTACACACTTCTCACGTCTCAAATACGATGTTGACATAAATTATGACAACCGCTGCCATCAAATCTAGTAATAAAACAGAAATACCAACACTGTCAGTTGTAGCCCACAGATCATTGATCTACAGCTTTGATAAGAGCTGTGTGAGTCCTGACTGAAATGTATCACGTAGCTGGTTATAATAAGTTGTGTCTGGTTGTTTCAGGCAGGAGCCCAGGACAACCCCAGGCTGTCAAAGTGCCTCCAAGACGCCCATCAGTTTCTCACCATCACACAGGTGCAAGCAACATGAGTCTCAGCAGCTTTGAAAGCTAATCCTCCTCAACACATATTTACAGATTAACAGTGTAATATGAACTTCCCCTGCTTTCAGATGTGATTTATTATGCCTGACTCATTTTTCCACTTCACCAGATACCTGAGAATCCTCCTGAGTACAAGAAATACTACAGACAAATGAACAAGGTAAAATGAGTTAAACAAGAGCCACTTCAAAAGAATTAGTCTCAAATACTGACTAAATTGCTTTCAGGGAGGCTTCCCCTTCAGCACACGTGACTGTGGTTGGATTGTGGCTGACTGCACAGCTGAGGGCCTGAAGTCAGTGATGCTGCTGCAGGAGCTCTGTCCCTCCATCAGCCAGCCTGTCCCCTCTGACCGTCTGTATGATGCTGTCAACGTGGTGAGTCCACAGACCAATTTACCTTTTCATGCTTCTGTGATGGTGTCAGCCAGAGGACATGAGGCAGCATGTTTTCAGGTTGGCTGTCCATACGTCAATAGATCTGTCTGTCCCATTCTTGTGAACACAGTATCTCATTTCCTTCATATTTGGTGCAATCATTGAGTCAAAGATGAGCTGATTTGATTTTGGTGATCTGCAACCTCATATGAATCTGGAAAAAAAATATGCAGACTGAAATTGCACTGGTTGGCAGACGCATGCAACTGCAGGGTAGTAATTCTATTTTTTCATTAAACAAGTCTTTTGGAACTGTAAGCTGATATATGTCATTTGTTTATCCTGTAACATCTTGTACACTTCAGAAGATGTGTTTCTACTGTAGTAATGCAGGGTCTGGGTCTTTTGTCTCCCTGTAGCTTCTGAGCATGAGAAACTCAGACGGTGGGTTTGCCACATATGAAACTAAGAGGGGAGGGAAACTCCTGGAGCTGCTCAACCCATCGGAGGTGTTTGGTGAGTACGTTATCAGCACCTTGCTCAATACCCATCACACGAACCTCACTGTTAGACTGGGCTCATTTCATGTTCTGACTTCTGACTGATCAGTGTTTAGTGGGGGAATGTCTGTCAATCTCCAAGTATGCAGATATGAAAAAGGGAAACACGAAGCCAAATATAAACATGACCTTTCAGGCTCCTTTTAACACTGAGTGACTGAATAACTTTTTCCATTTCTCCCTGGATGTGTCGCAATATTATGGCCTGTTCTGAATTAAAGGGCAAAAAGCCTAATATTGTCATTTTCCATTTAAAAAAGAGGATGTCGTATGTTGTGACATTTGAAATGTATTCGTAACACTGTGCAAAACACAAACAAACAGGTGACATCATGATCGATTACACCTATGTGGAGTGTACGTCAGCGGTAATGCAGGCTCTGAGGCACTTCCAGAAGGTCTACCCTGAACACCGAGCTGAGGAGATAAGGTATACTACACGGCACATACAAATATACACATGGACGTACACTAGTCTCTGTTACTGAATGAAACTGAAATGAAATATTCATAAACCTTGCTAAAGGTCATTTCAAACTCCCCTGGCTTTTGCTGCATACATTAATTGCGTCAATACACTCATCTACTAACCCCTATTTCACTGTATAGGGACTTCTATATAAAGACTATATACAAATATGTACATATTATATAGTGAGCTTAGAAAAAAAAACATTTTCAGACACTACTCAGCGCATTTTGTCTGTGATGGTAATTCGTCATTGTCGCAGGGTTATGACGCACAAAAACAACAATGGCTGGTGGAAAATCCCTCCCACTTACTATTTCTACTTTTCGGTAGCCTCTGCTAGTATTTACATTTGTCCTCTCTTCTCTCTTCTCTTGTGTCTCTCATGGACTATAAAGTGATTAGTGAGTGATTTCGTAAACAGCCATGCTACCCAAGTACATTCTCAGTTCTTATTGAGTTTAAGGATTAAAACGGAAGAAGTTGTTAAACTTTTCATTGTGTCTTCTTCAGGTCCACTCTGAGAGAAGGACTGGAGTATTGCAGGCGGGTGCAGCGGCCTAATGGGTCCTGGGAAGGGTGAGCGCACACACTTGTGACGTCACTGTTTGATTTCCTACCTAATCAACAGGTAGAGCTCAATCTTTGTCTCCTTGTGCTCAGGTCCTGGGGAGTGTGCTTCACGTATGGAATATGGTTTGGCCTCGAAGCCTTCGCGTGCATGGGTCATGTCTACGAGGACAAGTAAGAGATCACAGACTTCTGATCACTTGAATAAAGTTCACAACTCCTCCCCTTCGTTCTAAATGGCACCACTGTGTCCTGTGTTATCAGGGATGCGTGTGTGGAGGTGCAGAAAGCTTGTCAGTTCCTGCTGGAGTGGCAGATGCCTGACGGAGGGTGGGGGGAGGACTTTGAGTCGTGCGAGCAGCGACGCTACATCCAGAGCAGCACCGCTCAGATCCACAACACCTGCTGGGCCTTGTTAGGCCTCATGGCCGTCAGGTAACTCGCCTTCCACTCAATCACAGCTGATTATATTGGATCAAAATGTGATCAGACTGGAACTGATGGGTTCATGTTTGTTGGCGCAGCTTTTTTAGTTTATAATGACTGTTGTTATTCAGAGGATTTTATTTTAGTCTCATCATCTATTTATGTGTTTTTGGGTATGTAGTGTGCCATCAATTATGTGCATGCTGTGCGTTTGAAACCAGAGATGAGTCACACCTCCTCTCTCTGCTTGCACAATGCATATTGTTAAATTGCTATTGATATTGATTGCAATATTTATTGATATTGTTTTCTTGCCCTGTCCTACAATCAGTATATATATTTGTATTATAAATGAGAAAATGAAAAATTTAAATTCAATATAAGTACTTGTGTGTATAACCAGGCATCCTGACAGGCGGGCCATAGAGAGAGGAGTACAGCTGCTGATTGACAAGCAGCTACCTACTGGAGACTGGCCACAGGTGAGTCTCTGCTCTCCATAGTCATCACTTACAATGCATTCATTATAAATAGGCTTTAATCCAAGTCATAACAAATTCATTTGATGGAAATATGAATTATAATTTAATAGTCTTTCCTTTACCTCACCAGGAAAATATCTCAGGTGTGTTCAACAAGAGCTGTGCCATCAGCTACACCTCCTACAGAAACGTCTTCCCTGTCTGGACCCTCGGACGCTTCTCAACACTTTACCCCAGCAGTCCGCTGGCTGGGAAGGGGAAGCTGTGAAGAGCTTTGGCGGAACAAAGACAGAACAAGCACAAAGCTCAGACAGTGAAAGGAAAGGGTGTATTTTCCACTACCATAGAACTTGAGCTGTGTTTTCAAAGATGATTCCATCAGATAGGATTCATTGTCTGATTTGTTTTTCTTGTTGACATTCCAGCACAGCTCATCAGCCAGAGCTGCTATGGTAATATGTGTTAATTATGATGTTCATTATACATTTTAGAATAAAGAATTTTCCATGGTATTGTGTTCACTGTCATCAGTAAAAAAAAAGATATTGCAGAACGTGACTCGACTGAACCTGAATAAATTCAAACTACCACAACATTTCTGTCGTAATTCTCCTTTTGTCACTTCTGAACCAGCAGAAAGATAAACTAATAGGATTGTGACAGTTGAACAGGTCACAATGTGAACACTCATGTCACACTTGTGTTGTATACGAGGCTGGGTTCTCTGTCAAACATTAAAACCAGATCCTGACAACTTGTTACTCTGCAGAGCATCAGGTTTTTTTTACCATTTCATCACTTTTCCTTACACACCTGAAGCTTTATTATGTTATAGGTGCGGTTATGAAGAATGCTTTGTCATGTCTTATTGATCAAAGCGCGTGGGAGATCAAGAATGTCCTCAATGATAAACTTCATCTGACCTTTATCATGGGAATGTCTCAGACAAACTACGTGTTTATTTGTGTTGCTGAGCTGCAGGGACAGGACTACACAGAGGAATACTGTGGGTCTTCTATGAATAACAGCAGCAGATGAGCTGCACGCTTGAAAAACACTGAACAAAACACACAGACTGTTTCACTTGTTGAGTTTGTGCTTTCCACTGTCAAGTATTTGGTTTTTGGCATGTGCATATGCTGATAGCAAACCGGTTTTAATTCACCTCTACTCCCCTTTTCCACATTTAGGCATTTCACTGACGAACACAGTCAGTGTCCACGCATGAAAACTAAAAACAAAATATATCGAAGATTTAAATAAAGGAAAGGATTTGTGGCAACTACAAATGCAATATATTAAAAAGCAAAAAACTAAAAATGCAAGTGCATTTACAAGTAAACATTTTATTTGACCAAGCTTCCCTCTATTTGTTTTATGAGTAAGAAATGTAAAATGCATTTCCATTGGCATTTGCTTAAAGTATTCAAAGACGACATGTGGTGTTATTGATAATCACAAAGGACTAGTTGAGGACTTGTTGAGTCATGAGTTGTCTTAAGGATCTTAGTGTTTTGTCCCTTTTGTCATTTTTAGAGCTGAGCTACAACAGGGGCTTTGTCCTTTTGTCAAATGGATGTGAAAGTGGAAATGAATGAGTTTACTTTCGTTTTACTTTGGACTATAGTTTACAGAGGTCATACAGATGCCGCTGAGCCATTTTTTCCAATTTATTTTAAATTTCAACCTGTCAAACAACTTTTGCCCAATAGGTGCAGGTCTGGATAATTGCATAATTTTTTCCCATGCCGACTGTCATTTTGTTTTGTTTTTGAGAAATTTGGAAGCAAGTAGTTCTGTGACATCAGTACTAGCGCTTTGACCCAATACAGACTTGACTTGACAACTGAGATGTAAAACCTCACCCTAGACATGACTCCTCAAAGACTTGAAACTACAGTTGTGGCTCCCTAAAGACTCTACAACCGTAAGACTTGACTTGAAGTGAGACCTAAAGTCTCAAGTCAAGCCATATCAGATTTAAGAGAAGAGAAGAGTTACTTTATTAATCCCTCAAGGGGAAATTCTTTTTTCACTCTTTTTTTTTTTTACATGCATTGTAACCCCGAAACACAACCACACACACACACACACACAAAGGGCTCATAGACATGTGAAGAGAGATGGTGGAGTGATGTATTGGGCCTCTTCACCAAAGTAACTCGATCTTGGTAATGCAAAATGAATATTTTACATTGTTACAGTGTTCCCGGTTTGATTGTATATATGCAGAGAAATCAGAAAGCTCCCGTCTGTCCTCGCTCTTGAGAAAACATATTTCTTCTCTCCTGATAACATCGCAATGTTTTGCTCACTGCAAAGATGTCAAACTCGTCAGACATGTTGTGCACAGGACAAAAGAACTACTAATGAGCACACTGCACCTCAGGTGATTGATGTGTTTCACTGTGAGTTGGACTTGAACTCAGCAGGACATATCAGGTAACAATCCCACAATGTTCATAACACAAGCACTAAAAATAATATTGAATTGTGAGTGTTAATGTTTGAATACATTTGAATGCAGCGTCCTCATATTCATGGCTACTATACATATTTATTTATTACATGCAGCTGATGAAACCCTTGCACACCAAAAACATTCCAATGGGAGTTGCAGCACTGCCCCTGTGAACGCGTCAGATTCAGCATATAAGTAGGAGCTGCAGGTGCTCCACCTGAGCATTCGCTCTCTTACACACGGTAAGTTAGCTACGTTCATATAGTGACGGTTATTCTGTCATATGATTTTGATCTTTCACATTTTACTTGCATTTTACTTTTACTTACTTACTTACTTTGCATCTTCCATGTTTGAAAGTTGTGTAAAGTGCATTGCCTCTAATTGTTATCATCTTTTGGGGATCTGTGTGAAAGTATTTAAAACTGTACTTTTTTTTTCTCTCTTAAATTTTAGAATCTGAAGTTTGGAAATGCCTAGACCAGGTAAATATAAGTGGCTCATCATTGCCTTTTTTCTGCCACATGCATTGAATGTGTAATATATTATCATCAATTATTATCCTCCTTATTACATGAGGCGGCTGTCATGGCAGTGGAGGCCATGGACATGGAGGCCATGGACATGGAGGACATGGACATGGAGGCCATGGCCATGGTGGTTGTGGTGGCGGCGGCGGCGGTCAAGGGAAATGTCGCAAACCTGGAGACAAGTGCAGAAGGAGGAGAAGGAAGGGCCACAAGCATTTAAAGTGTCACAAGAAGGGGAAGGACTGTCATGGGGTAAGATTCCCCACACAGAGAGGGAGACACAAGACACACAGTTTTCTAAATTAACACAGGAATAGTCTCTTATTGATAACATGTTTTTCAGATTATTTACTGAGGTGTAGTATGTAAATGCATTTGTGCAAGAACAGTGTATGCATCGCTTTCATTCACACAAGGATGTCATTTTTAGAACAAACGGGCTATGATAACAATGGAGCAGGTTGGGCTGTAATGCCTTGCTGAAGGGCAATCATAAAGGAAGAGCTTCCCCTTCCTTCCTGAAAGTGTTTTGAAACTTCACCTTTGGGACATTATTACTCTCTTCTCTTTCCTAGAAATGTATTTAAGGGACAAATGCAACCCAGCTAAGAATTACGTGACTTGCTGCCATCTTCACACTCTCAAATGTCAATAGTAAACTGTAATTCAAATGAGTTTGGTTGTCTCCAGAAGATTGAAGTGGTGTGTCTGCTCGTGTGTTCCTCTCTCCTCTAGTCTTCCAGCAGCTCCTGCAGCAGCAGCAGCAGTGACTCTGACTAGATTTCCGGATGAAGCGAGTTGACAGCTGGAAACCTTTATCCTCTTGTCTGTGTACAACAATCTGTTGACTTTATAGCCAAATGATTATTTACATTCACATGTTATGATCTTGAAACTCAAATGGCTTAAAAGAACAAGTTTTTGTAACACATATATTGGGCTTTCCTGGGTTTTGGGGGTATTCAATTCTGATCTAATAAATGAATACAACAGTGAAAAGAAAGTCTGATGGAATCTTTCTGAATAGCTTCAGTCGATTGACTTTTCAACTTTTGTCAGGTATATGGGCATTTCACAACTTTGTCGTTGTCTGATTAAAATGGCTTTCAAATTATTCTGATGGAGTGTGAATTTGTAGATAAGAGAATAAATCCTGGTCAAGATCCAAGCTGTCAGAAATTGGGGAAAAGCAGGACTCAAATGCAGGAGCCAGTAAAATAATAAAAGTGTCCTTTAATAAGGCAAAAATAACAAGATACAAAAGCAGGCATGGTCCCAAAAACTAGTTTAAGAGAAACTAAATCAATCTGAAAAAACATTATAAACACAGGGAACAAGATAACACTGGAAAGATGGCGGTGAAAAACAACAAAGTCTAGATGAAGATATGGACAAGGGAGGCAGGGATGACTGAACACAGGTGAAACACGTAAGCAACATAAATTCAAAATAAAAGAGGAAGTGGAGAACTCAGGGGAAACAACTGAACACAAACCTAAATTCAAGAAAACACAGGTAAAGGTCAATAAACCAAAGAGTCTATAAAACAGAACCGAAATCTGTTTCAATCATAGGTCAAAAGTTCAGAACCACAACGACCACGGGGTGACGGTGTAGTGTCGATCTTAATAATACCGATGGGCGGTGGTAAAAGATGTCATTTGCTAGTGACTGAAATAATCATTTTATTACACACAGATCTTTGGGAAAAAGAAAAAAAAAATTCCAATAAAGAAAAATAAATCTGGTGTCTTGTGGTGACAAGCTATTCTGTTGCACAATAATGATAATTGAGCAAGAAGCATTGTACGTTAGCACACCTCGCAAAAGGATAAACAAAAGTTTAAAAAACTAACTTGGTGGGATTTTAGGCACAGCCCCTGATGATGTCTTCTGGGTTGTCTCAATCTGAGGTGTGGCGTAAGGTATAAATTCACAACCAGCAGAATGCCGTGTCTGTGGAACTGAACTACAACAAACAGTAAGTTCTCCAACCGCTAACAAGGACTTATTACCCTGAAGTGCGTTTGGATTCATATGCTTTGTGTGTGTGCGTGCGTGTGTGTGCGTGTGTGTGTGTGTGTGAATACAGATATCTTTGTGAGGACCATTTAACCCCCATTCACAGATATAGGCAGTGTCTACACTGTTTAGCACTTCGATTTGTATGTATTTACTTTATTAACCAAATTACATTAATTTGCGATTCTGTGTTTTCAGTTTCACGGCCTGTGTGATTTGTCTTTTCCACAATCCCTGCAGTTGTCTAAACAGCACAGTATCTTATAATTTACATCTTATTCATACACTCAAGAGAATTGTTTTTGTCTTATGTTTAAAAGATGTCTTTTGTGCATTAAATGGCTTCTTTCAGTTTCAGGATTTGGATCTAAAATTTTGAAATGTCCGGAAATAACAGAGGTAAAAAATGAAATATTCTTCTTTTCTTTACTCTCTGTCTTTTGTCACTCATATTAAACCCCTCTTCTTTCCAAGAAACGTACTTCACTGAATTTGAGAGATTGAAACCGGATAATCAAGTGTTAGTATCAACCCCTCTGTTTGAACAGGAAACCAGTATCCTGCTGGCTGTCAACCTCCGCCAGGGCCAGGATTCTATCCTCAATGTCCATCAGGCCCTGCACCACTCCAGCCATGCCCTCCTCAGCCATGTCATCCATCTGTGTGCATCCCTGTGGCTCCACCTTGTGGAGGGTATGGAGGCCAAGGTCATGGACTGGGGCCTTGTGGATATGGACCTGACTATGATCAGAGCCATGGTCCTGGACATGGCCACGGGCATGATCACGGGCACGGGCATGATCACGGCCACGGGCACGATCATGGGCATGATCATTGCCACGGGCATGATCACGGCCACGGGCACGATCATGGGCATGATCATTGCCACGGGCACGGGCATGATCATGGCCACGGGCACGGGCATGATCACGGGCACGGGCATGGACATGATCACGGCCACGGGCACGGACATGATCACGGCCACGGGCACGGGCATGATCACGGGCATGGGCATGGACGTCACGGACGTGGCCACAAACATAAGTATGGACACATGCATGGCCATTGTCACAAGAGAGGAAGGAAGTGTCATGGGGTAAGATCCAGTTGTTTTAATTTAAAAAATCTCTAAATAAAAACAAGACAACAATTAATATGAAATCAAAGAGAAGATGCCATATTAATGAGACAATTTCATTAAACAGTTAATTAAAATGTTAAGTTCAATGTGAAACAGTTAACCCACGTGTGACATTTTTTAATATTTAAATAATTATCTTTTTATTCTTCTAATTTAGGATTTATATTTTTATATTGTCTACTTTTAACACAGCTGACTTTCTGTCTAACATTCTGCTTCAGGCCACAAGTCAGTAGATCAGAGCATCTTACAAAACAAACTAATAAGCAATAAGAATGTACAATTCCCACCTCTGATCGTACTTAATAGTAATTACTGCTGCAATAACTGTCAAGTATTGATTTATTTTGCTCATATTATATTCATACCCATTTTACCACATATAGTTATATTTATATTTAGTCATATCAAATMCTGCAATTTTGCACCTTGTCTTTTTGTGTCTTACTCTCTGTGAATGTTGAACTGTTGCTGTGACGC